CACAATGCCTGGCCATTTTTTGGTTGCAGCCATCATTGTTGTTTGGCGGGCCCGGGCTGGGGATTCGAACCCGCCACCTTAGGTGTATGTGGCTGGCGTCTTAGCCGCTTGAGCCACAGGCGCTGAGCCAACACTGGCCATTTTTTTGTTATAGTTGTCATTGTTTAGCAGCCCTGGGCTGGGTTCAAACCCACCAGCCCTGCTGCATATGGCTAGCCCCTAACCACTGAGCTATGGGTACCAAGCCCTTTTTTAAGTTTTTGAGACAGGTTCTTACTCTGTTACTCCAAATCCCAGGCTCAAGTGATCCTCCTGCTTCAATGTCCTGAATAGCTGGGACTACAGGCATGTGTCACCATGCCCAGCTAAGCAACTGATTATTTTTGAAATTAGATGTGTAGGTAGGTTACACAGTCCACCAATATCATTTAAGGAAAGAAGGACATTGTAAAATGTCTACCCTGACAAAGTGGCTCTGGATCTGACAGCACTAAGAATCACTGCTCCTACCATACAGGTCCTCTGCTGTTTCCCTAATAGAGGGTCTGAGCGCTCTAGGCCTTGTCACAGGCTATTCCCTTGGCCTTCCCTCTCCTGACTTGTTCTATAGGTCTGCACTCCTAAGACCCCACCTTGGGGAAGTCTTCCTGGACCCTCTGCCAAATCAGACTTCCCTTGCTTCCTTGGTACTCCCAGGGCCCCCAGCTTCCCTCATTAGCACTGTCCTGAGCTGGTTCACAGGACGAGAACATACATATCAGTCTATAACCTCTCTGCTCTTGCCTAGAGAGAAGTCAAGTAACTTACTGCTTTGGGGGCCACGTATGATCCTGACAGGGTGCCCACACCACTGGTCAGGTCGAAGAGGTCACTTAGGCCACTGCTGATCGGTGCTCCTAGGCTGGCTGGCACTGCTGCTGAGGGTGCCACAAAGTTGGGGCCCCCAATCTGGAAAAAAAGAGAAAGGGTCAGAAGCAGGCATCAGAGGCACGGGATGAGCAGAGCTACTGGCTTTCCAGAAAACAGTGGGGGTCTCGGGTGGGACAGCCTCCATATTAATTCTATGTTGCAGAAGGGAGACAGTGAGAAGGGTAGAGAAGAGAGGGTGGAAAGCCCTCTTATGCACTGGAAGCCAGAAGCCTTATGGGTGACCTCTGGGAAAGGGCTGGGGGCACTCCTAAACTAACATTCCACCCATGGATAAAAGAGGGACTCTAAGACATGCGAGGTGGGGAAGTACTAACAGATGAGAGCCTTTCGTCTAGTATGTCAGAGACGGTCTTGGGGACTGAAGAGGACTGGTGATCCTCAGGGATGACAAGGCAACCTATCATGGGGTCGCAAAGACAGGGCAAAGAACTCATGGATATGGGGCCCAGGGCTGTCGGATGCCAAATGGTCAATGCAGAGGCTGCCAGGACACTGGACCAAGGGCTGCAGCATAGCAAGGAGGGACTGCTCTGACTTCATCCACCCGTGGGACACTGGGCCAGCACTCTTGGAAGGGGCAGGGATGAAGGCTTGGTGACACAAGGGTTGAACCATACCCCTTCAGGCTCATCCCCCATCTCCAAGCAGAAGCAGGCAGGATGAAGAGAACAGGCAGCAACATGCAGAGAGAAAAGCCAGGAAAGATGATACAGAGAGACAAGAAAGAGAAAGGGAAAGAGGGAAATGATTAGTCAACTGTTTCTCTGTCCATAAGAAGTTTGGTATAAGGCTGTGCCGCAGCCTACAAGAGGCCTAGACCCCCATGTCTGTGAAAGTCACTACCACAAAGCTTCATCCCGCCACCCTCATATCCTATACCACAATCCTTCCTACCCTTCCCCTGGCACTGGTTGCTAGCCACCTACCCTTGTGAGGCAACTTTGGGGACCTATGCCAAGCATAGCCCCATGAAAGGGGCAGCTGCCCCTTTTACCTGGCCCTACCAGCTGTCTAAAGAAGCCCCAGGGCAATACCAGTCAAGTCTCACCACTCTCCTCTCTTTAGGGGAAGAGGGAATTCTGTCCCTGACCTCCCATGGCCCTTTCCCAGATAGCCCTGGCTGGGTTGCTCTCCCCATGCAGGTAAGTAGACATGTCTGGTTCCTGAAGGCCAGAACATCCCAGTCTCACCAGGCAGAGATGATTGTGGGTAGAGCCAGAATCAGAGGAAAAAGCTAGGATTGGCCCTCCACTGCCCTAGGTCTGCTGGGGCTCAAAGGTCTAATAAGGGAGTTGAATCCTGTCTGTGCTACTCAGTAGCTATGCTGTCTTGCAGGAAAATTGTCTAATCTCTTTAAGCCCAAGTTTTTATTTTTTTGCAGTTTTTGGCCAGGGTCGGGTTTGAACCTGCCACCTCTGGTAATATGGGGCTGGCGCCCTATTCCTTTGAGCCACAGGTGCCACCCTAAGCCAAAGTTTTGTTATCTATAAGTAAGAAGCTACAAAATCATTGTTATGGGCATATGGTAAGGACTCAACATAATACACCCAAGGCACTTGGCTAGTGCCTGGCACAGAGGGGCATTCAATGATTGCTCCTCTCAAGATCATTACCAACATCATGCAGAAGCGGCCTAGGACATACCAGGCTGTCAAGACCACCGCCAAGAAGGTCCACAGCTCCCATCTGTACTGAGGTGGTGGCCAGGGGTGGACCGCTTACTGGGGGACCAAGGTCCAGGTTGAGAAGATCGCCTAGCAGGTCACCCTGGGTGGGGATGACATCTGGCTGCTCACCAGGGGGTACTCCTGCAGGGGCTGTCTCAGGGCTCTCTGTGCTCTCACTCCTGCCAGGACATGGAAGGGAGAGAGTCAGCAGGCCAGTAGGGTAGGAGTATTAGGATGTTTCAGGGAGGTCAAAGACTTTAGTCTCCACAATCCTCTCCTCACAGTCCCCAAAAGCAGCCCATGACCCCACGTCTGATCCATGCTGAGGGTCTCCATGGGGATGAAGAAAGGGAGAAGGCTTATCTCTTTCTATCCCTGGATCCTAGTCCCCAGGGAATGTGCCTCCATGACAAATTAGCCACTTGGGAGCAGCAAAGGAGGCAAGAACAGGGCTCAGAAGTGGGCCTGAATTCTAGCTCCGCTAGCTGTGGAACCCCAGACCAGACATTCAGACTCTCTGTGTCCATTGGCCCCATCTGTCAAATGGGGACATGTTCTTTCAGAGCTGCTGTAAGGATCAAATGAAGTCATCTAGCAAACACCTTGTGTGTAGTAAGCATTTGATAAAGGTTGCTAGAGTCATAGTTTTCCTTAGACTCAGGGCTTGCCAGGGGACATCACATCAGGGCTTAGAGGGAAACAGGTGCAGATGCTCAGGCCAGGACTGGCCAGTTTCACTCACGAGGCAGTGCGGGGTGGCAGGCTCTTGTGTACAACGCCACGGCCCCCCTCCACAAAGGCACTGGGTGGCTTATGGTAGACGGATGCCAGTGTGCCTATGTAGCAGATGAGCTCATCTAGTAGTGTGGGCTCAATGAGGTCTGTCTCTTCAGAGATGAGGGGCTTCTCAGCCAACACCACCTCCTTGGCGGCCACTGGGTCCGTGGAGAGCAGGCGCCAGTAGATGTAGCCGCGATCCCGCAAGTCTGGGTTATCTGAGTCCTTAAGAGGGGAAGGGGAGGGGTGATGAGAATCCCATGAAACTTAGAGTAGAGCAACCAGGTGATAGGGAAGAGAGGAGATCCTCCCATAATCCTATGATCTAGGTGTGGTCATAGGCCTGGCTGACAATAGCAATATTCACTCCATAAGCCTGTTCCTAAACCACTTAAATGGACATGTCCCAGAGCTGGGACTCATTCCCCATGGTATTCTACCATTCATTCCTGCTCCTCTCTCCATTCCTTTTTTCTTTTTTTATTGAATGGTAACTGTGTACATTGATGCACTTTGGGGGTACATAGCCTTCATGTAACTTTCTTAGTTATTGTGTTAAAACATTCATATTCTACTCATAAAAAGATTCACTTGTACCCTTGTAAGATGAACCACAGAAGTGAACCCTTGAATCCCTCTCCCTCCACCCTCTCCCCCCCTCCCCGTATCCTTAGGTTGTTATCCTCTCTCCATTCCTGACTGCCCCCAGTGGCCTGCTCTGCCTGACCACATGAACCCTCTGCTTCCCACAAACTTCACCCTCCTTTCTTACCTCATCTGTGTCAACTTTACCACTAATCCCACTGCATTTTTATTTCTATGACTCCAAGCTCCCTGAAGGCAGGGAACTTCATTTACTCTAAGGCCAAATCACCAAAGATGCCAATCTTAGGGGTAGGACTAGCTTTAACATCTGGATTCTGGGACCAAAGTTCCCCCTGAAGGAGTGAAGCCTTCACCAGACACAGTAGGGAGTTAGAGCACCCACCTGAGTGGCCAAACTGAGGACCTGCTGCACGAGCTCCTGGGTCTCTGTTGGCTTCTTCAGAAAGAGTTTCACGATGGCTGTCAGCAGCTGCAGCTGGACCTGCAGGGAGACAGACAAGTGCTGAGGAGGAAAAGTGCTGGCTTTACATGGAGGTAGAGGGAGGATAGCCTTCAAATGAAGGCTTGAAGAGGAAAAGGATGTTCAAAGTCCCTGGAAGCCAAGAATAGCTCCTCTAGGTTTGGGGTTGGCCATGGCACACAGGCTAAGGCCAGGAGGGAGTGCTGCTGCTTCTGGATGGCCCAGCCCTTGGCATTACTCCATCAGAAAGGAGCAGACCCAGGCAGGCTAGGGGCTGATGCCTAGTCTTAGCAGTGATCAGAGCTTTAAGCCCCACTGCACCATGCATGCTCTCATGTACATGCTTCATCTTTTTTTTTTTTTGTAGGGACAGAGTCTCATTCTATCACCCTTGGTAGAGTGCCATGGCGTCACATAGCTCACAGCAACCTCCAAGTCCTGGGCTTAGGCGATTCTCTTGCTTCAGCCTCCCGAGTAGCTGGGAATACAGGTGCCCACCAAAATGCCCAGCTATCTTTTTACTGCAGTTTGGCCTGGGCCAGATTTGAACCCGCCATCCTCAGTATGTGGGGCTGGCGCCCTACCCACTGAGACACAGGCACCACCCATGTGCATGCTTCTTAATGGGACCATCTGTTAATGATAATAATGCCATCAGGGCTCTGAGGGACAAGCCAGCGTATCCCTGAGAAACTACACATCTTCTGGAGGGTGGGAACCACCTGTTCATATGGACATGTCTCTTGCCCTCTGAGCCTGGCCAATACTCCCTCACCCTTGAGCTCTCATGGTACTAACCTATCCCATGCTTCTGTAGCCTCCTCCACCCACTGTCTTCATCGACACTCCCAGCTGCTGGCTGTCCCCAGGCAGTGGTTCCTTGTGGGCCAGAAGCCCACAGGCTGTGCCAGGGACAGGTCTAAGTCAGGAGGATGAGGGTGTGTCCTGGGCCTGTCCAACAGGAGGACTCTTGTGCTAACAGGGGGAGGCAGAGGGGAGGGGATATGTTCTGTTTTCTGTGGTTATGCAATCTGGAGTCCTTGTAATTGGGTCACATATGGGCCAATGGCAAGGGAGCAATAGCAATGCCTATTTCCAAGGCAAGGACAACCTAGGATCTGGCTTCCAGACCATGTTCTACTCTCTGGGTGAGGACAACTGTGGGAAGTATTTACTCCTAGTCTATGAAGGAGAGGTGAAGCCTCTTTTAGGCTTTTAAAGTGGCAATTTATGGCTGGGTGTGGCAGTTCATGCCTGTAATCCTAGCACTCTGGGAGGCGCGTGGATCACTTGAGCTCAGGTGTTTGAGGTTGCTGTGAACTATGATGCCATGGCATTTCACCCAGGGCAACAGAGTGAAACTCTGTCTTCAAAAACAACAACACTCCCCAAAATGGCAACTTATGGCAGCTTGCTTGGAGCCAGAGACAAACAGCCCCTCATTTGAACTCTGATCCTATCACTTCCAATAGGAGTGATCCTAGACAAGTCATTTAACTCCTCTGATTGGTTTCCTCATCTATACAATGGGAATAACACTTCATAGGGTTAATGTGAGGAGTCAAGGAGAAAACATGTGAAAGGGCTACTGTGTATTCTGCTCATTTCACAACGGCTATCATCATGGCAGTCATCACCATTACCATTATACAGGAACTCTTTACAAGTTCTCCCCAACCCAGTAGTGGGCTGCCTGGAATTACTCATCACTGTCAGATTCGCTGTGCTCCCCCTCAGGTGTGCCTCAGGTTCTACTGCCATAGGGTGCTCTAGCTACAAGCCCAGAGCCCCGCCTCAGCAACCTGCCCAGCTCCCCCAACATGCTAATGTTAGTCTGCACACACAGGGCAGCTCTCCTGCAATGACACCACTGTCCCTGCCATCCAGACAGGATGGGACAGTAAGACAGGGCAAGACAAAGACAGGGCTGATACACTACCTGGCCAAGACTTTCTGAGCGCTCTGCCCCTAGATAGTGAGGCCCAGGAGCTAAGGATGAGCAGGTTCCAGGAGACAATCTAAAACGAGCTCCAAATTGTCAAGCACAAAACTAGCATTAAATAAGCCAATTAACTGGGCAGCACCTGTGGCTCAAAGGAGTAGGGTGCTGGTCCCATATACCGGAGGTGGTGGGTTCAAACCCAGCCCCAGCCGAAAACTGCTTTAAAAAAAAGGCTACTTAATTAAACCCCTGACCACGACCCAGCTATTTTCTACTGCGCTCTGGAGTGGGCACTTTATATACAGTTCTAACAATCTTTGCAGTAACCCTGTATTGGAGCCAAGACAGGTTTAGCAAGTTTAAGTTTAAATGCTCCAGGCCACACACCAAGGGAGAACCCTGGATTCAAACCTTCAAAGCCTGTTTTTTTTTCAAGACACTAGGTTTCTAGCTCAATTCTCCCTGTCTAGCTTCTCTCATCCTGGCTCCTCCCGCAGACTTAGCTGAGTGGGAAGAGGCCACAAAAGATTGACTCTAATATATGTGCAGAAACATACCCCTACAGGACATCCTCTGCAGTAACCTAAGCAGGACTTGATTGCAGGGACAGATACCATCAGAGACTGGGCTTTGCTTCTTAGAGATAAGAAAGAAGAGTCTAGTGTTAGAAGTGAAGGCAGCCTGGAGGTAGGTGCAGTGGGAATTATTACTACAGTTTTTTTTTTTGAGACGGAGCCTCAAGCTGTCCCCCTGGGTAGAGTGCCATGGCATCACGCTCACAGCAACCTCCAACTCCTGGGCTCAAGCGAG